CTAAGATGTCTGCTTCCAGTTCTTCGTCCGGCGCGTGGTGGGTTCTCCACTCCTAGGCCGACGGTGAGGTGCACGACACAACCGGAATGCCATCAAAGCCGGTTCCAGTAGACTTTCCTTGGGCCGAGGGTGAGGCCGAGGCAATCGCCGAGGTCCCTTTGCCGTCCAACCTTGCGGACCAACCTCCTTATACATGTACGCCAGACTCTCTTGAGAGAGTTCTTTTGGCCAACCTCCCTTACTCCTCCAGGCTTAACCCTATCTTTCCTGATGAGTGGGACCGGGCAAACTGGCCTTCGTGGTGCTGCATCGCGATCCACGACGACTACTTCCACTACGACTTCCGGGGTAGCCTCCCTCAGATGGTGGTCGACTTCTGCTGGTTCACTGGCATCTGCTCCAGTCAAGTCCACCCTTCCGCCTGGGGACTTATCTGCACTTTCCAAGTCCTCTCGGACTTGTTCGGGATCCGGGTCCGCGGGTTTATGGTGCTGCTGTCTTACCAGCTTTGGAGCCTGACCGCTGACGCTCTCCGCTACACCCTGCACACCCGAGACGGGTGCACTGCGCCCATTGTGGGTGACCGCTCTGGGAGCCGCGACTGGAGGGATCGGTACATCTTCTGGACAGTGCCGCTGGAAGTCAACATCCATCTTACCTGGATGCCGAGGGGTAAGAATCTTCTGCTACCGCTGCTTTCTTTCTCCCGAGTTTAGTTCATGGGTCGTCTTCTTACCGCCGTTTCGTCTACTCATTTTCCAGGTTTCAGGACGCCAGCCGCTTTGGAGCGGGTCGATCTGCACCGCTTGCTCGGGATCCCTAAGCGATTCCGGTCATTTGACTTCCTGCTCTCTCCGCCGAGCATCTGGGCGAGCTCTCTCATCCTCCAGTCTAGCCTTATCCCGGACGTCCCAAGTAATGACTCCGACTCTTCCGTCCTCGGCATTGCATTGATCCCTTGGTCGTTACCTGTGAATCCCGTCTTTGTAGGTTCCCGAAGTTGGATTGAGGAGATCTAGAAGGATTACGCCCTTGATGACTGCTTGCCCCCAGCGAGATTTTTGCGGGCCTCACGAAGGACGCCTGTCCAGATGCCGCGCCGGAGGCCCTGAGCAGACTCTCCCGAGGGGGAAGCCTCCTCCCGACCGACGCGCCGTCGGCGCTTAGTCAGATCTCCTGCAGTGAGATCTACGTGATCCCCGGGACCCTCTTCGGCCCTTCCCGCTCACTACTCCTCGGAGTCAGCTTCAACTGCCAGCGATGAGGCTCCCACAAATTCTGACGCTCTGGAGTACTTGGGGACCGTCGATAGGTCCAGGGCCATGCGAGCTGCCACCCCAGTCCCAGACGCCACGACCTCGCCGAAAGCGATGAGTATCTCCTCGGAGTCTGAGCCGATGTTCGTGCCTCCTCGTCCGACCGCCCGCTCGACCCGCGAGCTCACCAGCTAGTGGCTGACCGCCTCGGAGCTCACCCAGTTGATCAGACGTGGTAATCTAATTTCTCAAGATGTCTTCCTTTGCTTCTCTGGTTCATTACCTGTTCTTACTGATGTCTTTTGCCTTTTGACAGAGCCAGCGTTCGCTCGAGAAGTTGGAGCACGAACTTCACACGGCCGAACATCGCAAGCGCGGTCTTGCTGATAGGGCTAGCAAGCTTCAGGCCGAGCTCTTGGTGACCCGAGACCAGGTCTTCGAGCCCCAGACTTCCGCCCGTGGAGAGGACCTTAGCACAGAGATGGAGCGTCTGACCTTGGCGCTTGCTGACAGTCAACGGGATCTGGAGGCGTACAACTCGGAAGTGAAAACACTCACGGTGTACCAGGGTTTCACCTTGGGGGCCGAGGTCGACGTGGCGATGTTGGCGGTTAAAACTTTCTCATCAAGCCAGACCACAATTTGCATGCTGAGGCGGGAGCTCGAGGAAGAGCGGAGACGCGTCAGGTCGCGAGGGTCGGGCACTTTGGGGGCGGATAGAGATGCTAGGGGCCCGGGCCCTTCTTTGCCGGCGGGACCTTCGCGTCCGCCAGATTTTTGAAATTATTTCTGCTTCGGGGACTTGTTCCCCTTGTAACATTTACATTTGAACTCAAACATGCTGTCGTTTTGGCCTGCTTTTTTTTTAAGTATCGTTGTTTTATCTTATTTCGTTTAGCTTCGTCTTTTGCACCTTTTGCATCTTATCTCGCGTCACGGATCCAAAGTCTTGGTCTCGGGCCCAATACGCGTAATGGTCCCGAGCTCCCAAAATAGTTGAGCAGAACCATAGCCTGCTCGATCCGCGCGCTCTGCGTAGCCATTTTCGGATGCTTGTCTTCCTTCGTGGAACATCCGCCGGTGACTCGCGTCACGGATCCAGAGTCTCGGTTTTGGGGCCAATGCGCGTAATAGTCCCGAGATCCCGAGACGGTTGAGCAGAACCGTAGCTTGCTCGATCCGCGTGCTCCGTACAGCTATTTGCAGATGCTTTGCTTCCTTTCGTGGAACGTCCGCCGGTGATCCCCCCTCCTTCTAGCGCCAACTGTTCGGAAGCAAATTTTAGGATGCCACGTGTGGGGTCTTGATTCGTCGGGGTTTAGGTCTCCTAGTTTCGTCCACTGAGGGGAAAGGCGGCGAATCGTCGTTCCGGGGTGGAAACTTCCTGTCGCGATGCGGCGGGGCGTGCACCGTACTCGATCCTGCAAACACTTAAGCAAATGTCAAACGAGCTTTCGGGGAAGACCGAAAGGGGGTTTCCCTCCCGAAAGTTCTCCGACGCCCAAGTTAATGAACGTCCTACCAGGAACAAGTACTCGGGGGGGGAGGGGGGGGGGGGGAATTATATATGGGTTAATCGTGAGCAGACTCATCCGAGGATCGGGGCTCCTGTCTTATTTTGACTATTTCAAGAGGGATTTCTACTTGTAAAAAGAGGGATGCAGCGGGTATAAAGGTGAGGTTCAAGGTCGGAGATAACTTAACCTGGTTGGCAGTCACTCGGGAGGGACGTAGATTCCACCCGTAATCCTGCTGTATGGCCGGGAATATTGTCTCAGATGTCGAGAGGCGGACCTCTCTGACCGTCCTCATCCTCCCCTCTTCCTTGAAGGGTGCTTCTTCTATTTATACTCGCCATTCCCTTGTCATGTCCCTTCCAAGCCGCGCATCCGGAGAGCAGGTGGGAATAATCATCTTGGCGTGTTAGGGAAAACTCGCCAACTATCCTAGTATAGTACGCGGGAGTGGGTCAGCCGAGCTAGTGTGGCGTGTGTCAGCGGTTGATGTAGCTTAGGCTTACGTGGCGAATTCTCTTTCGATCCGGTAAAATGGGTGCTAACACCAGGTAAAGAAAAACTTATTTTTTATATAATATAATTTTTAGAAATTTAAATAACAGTGTATTTTTCAAATTTAAAATTTAAATAAGGCATTTTGCCAATTCTCCTATATTAAAATAATGTTTATTTAATATTGTTCAATTTTTTATTTCCAATTCATTTAAATATACAGTAAATTTTTTATAAATTAATATTTGATAAATTAATAAATTTTGCTAGTCCAAAATCGGATCAGTGTAAAAATTAGCAGATTTTGATAAGATAATAAGATAATACTTTTCTATAATTTATATGTAAAAATATGGTCTGAATAATTATATAAATTAATAATTATATATTTATGCATATATAAATAATATAATATAATAAAATATAATTATATTGTTGTTTCAAATATTAAATGTTGTTTGATTATCTTCCAAATTCAATGTTATAGTAATTTTAAGTGAATTTTATATTGGGAAAATTTTAAAACTACACTTTTCAGTGTACCACTGTTCAATAATGCTACAACTCGCTGGACATTTTTATAAATACAATTATTTAACTATTGAAATGACCAAATTATCCCTAGGTCATTAGAACCCAAAAGTGGCAATACTTTTCGTCGCGAGTCGAGTGAGAGAGAGAGAGTTGGCGAAAAATCGATCCGTGAATCGTGATCAGAAAATTCTGATTTGTTTTGATCAGAAAAATGTATGCGATTTATTAATTTTTCATTTAAATTGTGATTTGTTTTGCTAAATTCATTGTGGTTACCGATTTTGAAAGATTTGTCATTCGCGATTTGTGAATCACGAATTTGTTTTCGTTAAATTTGTGATTTGTTTCGCTGTAGTTATCGATTTTGGAAGATAGGTGATTCGTGAATTGTGAATCACTAATTTGTTTTCGTTGCAATTTCGATCTGTTTCACTAACTCCTTTGTGGTTGCCGATTTGAAATCTTTACAAATCTCTCTCTCTCTCTCTCTCTCTCTCTCTCTCTCTCTCTCTCTCTCTCTCTCTCTCTCTCTCTCTCTCTCTCTCTCTCTTTCTCCTGTTTCCTATCATACGAATATCATTTAGCCAAATTTTGCCATTGTTGCTTTGTTTTTGATTCCAGGTGTTTTTGTTCATCTTGTTTCGAATAGATAATACTGTTGTGTTTAAATTACATTCGAATGATTATACAATGGTTCAAGTAGATTGTAATATGTATGGCATGTACTTCAGGTTTTGATTTAAAAGATTGTTATTGTATATCTTTGGAGATGATGGATGAAGAATTCAATACAACCTTGACATTACCTCCACGGATATATGTATCCGGGACTGAACCAAAGGACACCATTGCAGTCCTGCAACATTCGAACCTGCTCTATGTGGATAAAGTCACAAAGCTGTTAGGAGATTGAGAGTTGCGTATGATTGAAAGCTCTTATCTCAGCCCGATTGTCAAACTCGCAAAGAGAGAGGACATTCAGTTTTCTGGAAAGATCTTCCACCTCCTGATGCAAAGAATAATTTTGACTGAGAGAGAAGACTTGTGATTTGCATTTGTAGACCAGCCGATGAGATTTTCACTCAGGGAATATTTCCTAACCACATGCTTGCGTTGTTGTGAGCCAGAGGAGAACCCAAACCAAACAACAGGACCATCACACGAGCTGGTGAAAAAACCATATATGTGGATGCTAGGACAGACAGCTAAGTACACGGTGAAAGATTTGATGAATCTGCTGGAAAAAAATGCAAACAGAATGTCTGCTGAGGAGAAACTTTGTCTTAGAGCTGCTATCTTGACTCATGGGATTATAATCGCCAAGAATCCAACGATAAAGGTATCGCGAGAGAGTCTGTAAATGTTTCTTAATTTCGATTATTACTCTGCGAGACCTTGGAGGTTATGCGATACAAGGTCCTATCTGCTAGTATATGCAGGATGAAAGCAAAAACATTTGCAAAAGCTCAGTATGAAGTGCAAGGATTCGTATGGGCAATCACGTTGTGGGCTTTGTCTGCTGTGCCTGCGCTAGGTCCTACATTTGGGAGCCGTTTTGATTCAAGCTCGTCTGCTGGCCCGTTGTGTTTACAGTGGAAAGCCACTCAGACTCCCAGGATTTCAGAAGTTTTGCGTGTAGAGCAGATAAATAATGTAAGTGATTCTCATTTTATTTGGTTGTGGATACTGTTTTTGATGCATTAATAAAGCTTTACAAAAAATGTATTTGCTATGTGTTTGCAGGTTGTAGTCAATACTGTTGTTGAGGATCCAAAGGAATATAAGAAACTGGTTCCACCAACAAATCCTATTAACAAAGACTTTGCAACGGTGGTGCAACTTGTAATGCAAGGCTATAGGTTAAGCAGATCCGAGTGGATAGAGGGGAAAGTAGATGGTGTTTTAGCATCTGAACAAATATGGATACAACATAACAGACGAGCAGAGCCTAGTAGAACAACACGTGAGGCTCCTATCGTGACTGACAGTGACAAAATTGACAAGATGATGGAGATGCTTAAAACTTTGATTGGCTAAGTGGAGAACATAGAGGCTTTTGTGGGGATTAAGGCAGCAGAGGTAAAAAAAAAGAATCTATTAAACCCGTTTAAATGTTCAGTTACTTTTCGGGGCTTTGACAATATGTTTTATGATTTATAGGAAAAAGATCTTGTAGATGGTGAGGAAAACAATGATGCAAAAGATCCTGAAGATGGTAAGGATAACAATGATAGAAAAGATCCTGAAGATGGTCAGGATAACGATGCTGCAAAAGATCCTGGAGATGATGCGCCTATTGATATTAACGGTACAGAAGATAATGTTGAAGATCATGGTGAGGATAAAGATGATGCAAATGGTAATGATGGAGATCGTACTGGCAATGTTGAGGATACACATGTTGTTGATAATATTGATGAAGATCATGGTGGAGACGGTGAGGCTGCCAATATTGTTATCGGTAATGATAATTTATGTCATGTAAATATGTTATTTTATAAAACTAACTTTAAAAATACGCAAATTTGTTCTTGTTTTGTTGTTCAGAAAATCCCAAAGATGATAAAGGTGACGATGCCAACAAAGAAATTCTTGAAGATGATGAAACGTTGATGAAGATGATGAAAGTAACGATTCCAACCGACATTGATTTGGCGAAGATATTTCTTCGCGACCACCACTGGCGGATGAAGATATTACCATTCAGTTGCAACAAGGTGGAGCTCATCCAATATTCCACCCATTCCAGCCATATCTTCTATCAAGGAAAGCAAGATTGGATGAATGGAAGAATGCAACTAACCAGAAGTAAGTAAAGTTTTCATATATGTTTAGCTTAGTAATATGGAGAGATTTACAAATATCTTTTGTAATGTAAGATCTTGAAAGATTTTCTTGGACATGAAGTAAATGGTGATTGGTTTTTTAACCTCCAGACACCAGGGACTGTAATGACCAGACAAGTAAAACTAGAATTTGAATTGGACATCATATTAGATTGACCGGACACGGACTTTGAACATCATCTTCCTTTCTACTTTAATTTTTAGATATCTGCCAAACTTTGGGTGTGTCATAATTCTTTCTACTTGTGATAAAACTTACGAATCCTATATGTTGCAATCTCATTCACTCTGTTATCTTTGATATTATGCATTAATAGTTTAAAAGTAAAAAGGTATATGATATCTTTTGCTTTATTGCAGCATATGGAATCTGCTATGCATTTGCTTCAAACAAGGAGAAAAAATAGTCAAAAGATTTTTGCAAACAGTAGAGTTGCCATCTATGGAGAATATTTCCTTTTGACACTCAACCAATGCTGGGAAAGATGGCGGTGGAGTCAAAGGTGGTACAACTACGACAACGAAAGCACTGAAGGCTACATCAATGGTACATTGCCGGCTATTGGCAATACATGGAAGAAGATGATCAAAGATATAGACTATGTCTATGCGCTAAAATGTTGGTATGAGAAACAATGGGTTGCTGTGATATTTGACTTGAAGAAAGGGTCGGTAAGCATATGGGACAGCGATAGATACCCGAAAGATTATCAGATTATGAGACTTCGGCAATGCACAAATAATGCATGTGCTTTTAAAAACGTTTGTAAAGGGTGTGAGATATTCCAAAGAATTCACTATTAAAAAACAACCAAGAATACCCAAGGTATGTTACTCAAAAAACGACTTTGTTTTTAATAAGTTCTTGGCTGACTAATCACAAATGTTTTACACTAGGTAAGTAATTTCCAGGACACATGTTTATATACTTTCAAGTTCATAGACTGCCATGCGAGTATGATGACAGACATATCTAGTCTCTGCCTTGCAAATATTGAACAACTGAGGAGTAAGCTGGCGGTTGACTTATTTTATGAGCTATTTGATGAACCATCTTCATAAAACCAACTCAACGATGCAGCTGCAGATGAGTTATCACTTGAGTCGCCTAGTGAGAGCAAAAAGTCAAAGAGAAAACTACACAATGTGGATGAGCCTACAGAGTTGGAGAAGGGTAAACTGAAAGTGGATGGTCGTAGAAGCTCTATGAGAAACAAAAAAGCTAAAGTATGAAACTGTCTCTCCTGGTTTGTTTTAAAATTTCTACATTTCAAAAACTCTTCTGTTTTACAATCTCAATCTTGTAAGCTTCTTCTTTGGTTTTTTCCTCTCTTTTTGACCATAGAAACTCAACTGCTAATGTAACGACTTTTGTAACAGACTCTTTACTTTCTGTATTTTAAATATTTGTTCAGAACTTGGGATAAATTCCCAGCATTGTATTTTAAATATTTGCTTTATTAAAGATTTATAAATTAGCTTTTGAATCTTTATAAATTGGCTTTTAAATCTTTGTAAATTTTGTCTTGAAATTTTAAAAAGATTTAAAAGATATTATAAAATGTTTATAAAAAATGTTTGGGGGTTAAACTACACTCGAGGCATCCCCCAGGGCTGTAGATTGCTACAAATTAAAATTATGTGAACCCCATTTTGCTCGAACCAGTGTACTGATGGTAAAGTAGAGGGCGTGTGTGACCTCCAAGGCTGTGGTGTCTTAATTGTCATAGCCTCTAGTGTAATTGCTTATAAAGAGAATACACTTTAGTTATTTTTTATTGCTCTGATTATGATGCAGGCCCAAACACGGGCCCAGAAAATCTAAGACGCTCTTGTGGATTGTAAATTATAATATGAACGATGCTGAAAGCCCAATTGTGTTTTGTCGAACATGATGGATTAATTTTTCTAAAATTTCTGTTAAAAAGATTTATAAATTACCTTTTAAATCCTTATAAAATTTGTGGTGTAATTTTTAAAAGATTTAAAAGAAGTCTTAAAATGTTTATAAAAAAATATTTTGGATGCTCGAACCAGAGAACGGATGGTAAAGTAGAGGGCGTGTGTAAACCCCAAGGCTGTGGTGTTTTAATTGTCATAGCCTCTAGTGTAATTGCTTATAAAGAGAATACACTTTAGTTATTTTTTATTGCTCTGATTATGATGCAGGCCCAAACACGGGCCCAGAAAATCTAAGACGCTCTTGTGAATTGTAAGTTATAATCTGAACGATGCTGAAAGCCCAATTGTGTTTTATCGAACATGATGGATTATTTTTTCTAAAATATCTTTTAAGAAGACTTAAAAGAATTCCTTTTAAATCCTTATAAATTTTGTGGTGTAATTTTTAAAAGATTTAAAAGAAGTTTTAAAAAGTTTATAAAAAAATGTTTTGGGTGCTCGAACCAAAGAACTGATGATAAAGTAGAGTGCGTGTGTAACCACCAAGGCTGTTGTGTTTTAATTGTCATATCAGTGATTGTAATTTTTTATAAAGAGTAAATGTTTATTTTGTAAAAAATAAAAAAAATCCCCACTGATTCCTCATCGAGAGAAATGACACTGTATCGATAAGAGGTACTCGTTTTATTTATTTAATTGCATTGAAACAATCAAAATTCTTCCCTTATCATCTAGGGAAGAGAAAAAGTCGAAACTAATGAACATATACAACTTTCTCTGGTGTTTGGTGGCGCTTACACCGCTTCATCCTTGTTTATATATATTCTGATTCCCCATTATTTCGCTGTCACTGATTCCACAGATAACCATGGCTACTTCAACCGCTTTGACAGATCTTCGGATGGCTCTCAATCAAATTAAAACCCGTCCTTCTGACTTTTTTTTTCAACATGTTTGGTTTAATGTTTAAATATTTGACATGAAGAAAGGGTCGGTAAGAATATGGGACAGCGATAGATACCCGGACAGATTATCAGATTATGAGACTTCGGCAATGCACAAATAATGCATGTGCTTTTAAAAACGTTTGTAAAGGGTGTGAGATATTCCCAAGAATTCACTATTAAAAAACAACCAAGAATACCCAAGGTATGTTACTCAAAAAACGACTTTGTTTTTAATAAGTTCTTGGCTGACTAATCACAAATGTTTTACACTAGGTAAGCAATTTCCAGGACACATGTTTATATACTTTCAAGTTCATAGACTGCCATGCGAGTATGATGACAGACATGTCTAGTCTCTGCCTTGCAAATATTGAACAACTGAGGATTAAGCTGGCGGTTGACTTATTTTGTGAGCTATTTGATGAACCTTCTTCACAAAACCAACTCAACGATGCAGCTGCAGATGAGTTATCACTTGAGTCGCCTAGTGAGAGCAAAAAGTCAAAGAGAAAACTACACAATGTGAATGAGCCTACAGAGTTGGAGAAGGGTAAACTGAAAGTGGATGGTCGTAGAAGCTCTATGAGAAACAAAAAGGCTAGAGTATGAAACTGTCTCTCCTGGTTTGTTTTAAAATTTCTGCATTTCAAAAACTCTTCTGTTTTACAATCTCAATCTTGTAAGCTTCTTCTTTGGTTTTTTCCTCTCTTTTTTGACCATAGAAACTCAACTGCTAATGTAACGACTTTTGTAACAGACTCTTTACTTTCTGTATTTTAAATATTTGCTTCAGAATCTTGGGATAAATTCCCAGCATTGTATTTTAAATATTTGATTTATTGAAGATTTATAAATTAGCTTTTGAATCTTTATAAATTGGCTTTTAAATCTTTGTAAATTTTGTCTTGAAATTTTAAAAAAAATTAAAAGATGTTTTAAAATGTTTATAAAAAATGTTTGGGGGATAAACTACAGTCGAGACATCCCCCAAGGCTGTAGATTGCTACAAATTAAAATTATGTAAACCCCATTTTGCTTGAACCAGTGTACTGATGGTAAAGTAGAGGGCGTGTGTGACCTCCAAGACTGTGGTGTCTTAATTGTCATAGCCTCTAGTGTAATTACTTATAAAGAGAATACACTTTAGTTCTTTTTTATTGCTCTAATTATGATGCAGGCCCAAACACGGGCCCAGAAAATCTAAGACTCTCTTGTGGATTGTAAATTATAATATGAACGATGCTGAAAGCCCAATTGTGTTCTGTCGAACATGATGGATTAATTTTTCTAAAACTTTGGTTAAAAAGATTTATAAATTACCTTTTAAATCTTTATAAATTTT